GCCCATGCCTGCAGTAGCCCAGGCCAGAAGCCAGGGAGGTGGTGGTGGGGGTACTAGAGCATTCCTCCTGGCTGGGCTGGAGCAGACAGCTTGGGCCAAGGCTAGCCCACCCACCCTACAAGGGGGTTTGCAGGAGAGGTGCAAGGCATCCTGGGATGCAGGGGGACTGAGTTAACTTGAATTTGGAGGGGATCTGGGACAGAAGTTCAATAAACTGATTCAGTTAAGTCTGATACTACATCCATCCAGGCTTATCTTAAACCACTTTCAAAATGGCCAGAATCGGTTTATGTGCACTGAACTTCTGTTGTGTTACAGATTTGAACCAGTTTCCAAGCACTTACACTGGGTTTATGTGTAATTTCTGTCCCTAGCCTTGATGTATCAATTGCCATAGAGTTATCTTATATGGATCGCACTGTTCTCCGGGCATCAGTCATAATTTGCCTACAAGTTTTGTCATACTTTTCAGTGAATAGGCACAAGTTTTTCATTCAGCACAAGACTTTAAAGCATCTAACCTAACCTCATTAGAACTACTTGGGTGCTTAAAGTTCAGCACTTTCCTTTCTTGGTTAGGGCTTGAATCAAACTTTCATCTCAGAAGAAGTTCTATTTATGAGCAATTATTTGATGTTTAAAGTCTTCTTTGCACATTCAGAAATACTACATGGAAAACAAAAAAGTAAGTATAATCTTTAGTACAGGTGTAATCTAAGCCCACTTAAGTCAGCAGAAGTCTTTCCAGTAATGTAATGAGCTTTGCTTGAAAGCTACCCAAAATGTAATGAGCCTTTGCTTGAAAGCTACCTAAAATATTCATGATCCTGAAAGAATTTTCTCTCTTTTTGGATTGCACGGTCTAGGCTCAAGTCGTTCTGAATGTCTTGCTGTCCACGGCATTTAACCACCATATAACCCTTTTTCAGATGGATGACAAGGTTCCGTACTATATCGACAACAGCCTCCTCAGTCCCTTTGTCCACCAAATCAGGCTTTGTCAAGATCCCTGTGAAGTAATACAATGAGAAGATTGTATAAGTACATAAATTAAAGAGGAGGAATATCTATTGGAATATTTAATTCTCCAATGCAGGAAAATTCCTTAGCACAAAATTCTAAACTAACTTCTCCATTCTTTTTATGTGTCTGTTTTCATTTTCTAAAATGTTTCCTAGTAATGACTCTTTATACTCTAAAAAGAAATCTACAATATGAAAAGAAATCAACACCTCTGATTCCTCCCAGACTTGCACACCTTATGGATATTTTAGTAACAGTGAGGCTTTCCCACTATTAACTTTTGAACTTTTCAATTTTCTAGAAGTTTGCAGGCATATTGTTAAAGCATCTACATGGGCTTTTAGCATGTAGCAATAAACTACAGTGCCGTTCATGCTGGAGTCAGCTGCTCCTGGGCGCAGTATCTTCACGTGTGCCCAGAATCACAGCAATTTGAGCCGCGGCAGTCCCAGGAACACATGGCTAGGGACAGACATTACGCATAAGCCAGTTTAAGTGATCAAAAACTGGTTTAAACCTGTAACAGAACAGACGTTCAGTGCACATAAAACAATTTAAAAATGGCTGAAAGCAGTCTGAGATAAACCTGGTAGTATCAGACTTAACTGATTTGGCTCAAACCAGTTTATGCAATGCCTGTCCCAGACCCCTTGCTGGTTTAAGATAAATCAAACACCCCCAGCATCCTGGCATGGGCTTCACAGCAGGGCTGCACCCTCCCCTCTGCTCCCTGGGCAGAGCTCTTTTGGCAGAGACTTGCAGACACAGCAGGGTCTGCTGGCTTCCCTGTGTCCCACGCCCCCACCACTTAGCTGCTTAAGCCGGGATCCCCTCTCCCACAGCACAGCCCATAGCCAGCATATGATATGCTAGCTAGTGCTGTATAAGATTCCAACAAAGACTGCAGATAGAGCAGCGTCTGCTGGCTTCCCCTGCCCTGCCCTCACTGCTCAAACAGAAATTCCCCCCCTCCCATCTCCCACAGCACGGACCCCAGCCCTATGGATCCTAGGCATGTGGTGTGCTAGCTAATGCTAAGAGGTGTCTGTGTGCATCTTTTTCCAATTTCATTGGGACAGGCAGCCGGACAGAACAGGGCTTTTGGAGCTAATCAACAGATCAGCCCTGTAAGCTGTTTAAGAAGAGTTTGAAGTAAGGTGGAGAGAGCCTATTGTTTTGCTAAGCAGGTGATAAAGACTCTTCAGCTTCGGGCAACCTTGCTCCCCTGTCAGTTTGCTGCAGACAGTCTGACAAGCAGGGAGGGAGATTGAAAAGCTCCATATCATCAACAGATCCATGCACTGCACACACCCCTTTGCCTCAGAGTGCTAGCAAGGGCCTGGGGGCTGACAATTCTCCCACCCCTTGAGCAGCCAGTGGGAAAAAGCCTGGGATGTTGCAGGCAGACCTCCCTAATGAGAAAGTCCTGCTGGGGCCTGGCCATACCCCCCTCAGATCAACTTTGAGCAAGGGAAGGGAGGGCTGGTCTAGTGCTCCCAGACTTTTAGCCTGAGCCACTGCAGGCATATGGCTGAATTTTCTCAGTCCACAGAGAATGTCTGTCCAGTTTCCAATTGGCTCAGGCTAGCCAGGTTAGACTAACCTGCAAAGGTTGAATCAATTTAGGCTCAGGCTTTTTCAGAGTCTGACTCTAGTCATGAGGATGCTGCACCCAGGAACAGCTGATCCAGAACAGAGAGCCTGAGGGGTCAGCCCTAGGCTCCAGGTGGTAGTGTTCGGCAGTGTCTTGGCTGAGGCACAAGAGTGCTATAGTGTAGGGCTAGTTGGCAGGCAGCCCCTGTGCTGTAACATCCTCATGCCCCAGCCAACCCTGGTACAGTCTATACATGCATTTGAGCACACAAGTACTCTGTCATTGACTAGTATTTACCCCAGGCAGTGCTATCCTACAGTTGACTTAATTTACTGCGCCCTAATATGGGAGCATGTATAGACTATGACCTTTTTTTGCACAGCTAATTAGTCAAGCCTGCAGTAAAGTGCATGTATGGATGTGCCCAGTAGGGCCCAAGACTGAGCTATCCCTATTAGTGTCCTTCTATCTCTTTGTATGCTGTTTTATATAGGTTATATTTTTATAACCCATTGTGGGCTTGGGCCACGGTGGACAAAACAATAGAACTCTATGAAATATAACTTACTTCCTCTTCCAGGTGCATTTTTAAACATACGTCTTACCTAGAGTTCTCTCTCCAAGAGGGTCCACCTCTTGAGCCATTTTCAGTGCCTCGGTTGTTGCAATATCCACATTACTGGGTACCACCACTAGGTTTATTGTCTCTTGTTTAGTAATGATTCTTTTAATTAGCTTTTTAATCTGCAGTTTAGTGTGGAAAGAAAAAGATGTATTAAGGCTTATGTTATCAAATAGCATGGACCAGTTTCCAATTAAAGTGAGGTACCTCGCCATTATGAAATATTTTGTGGAAGTGGGTACAGACATTTCTGCAGATGAATTCAGTCTCTTACCTAAAGATAATTTAACTGTTCAAGGTATACGACTGCAGGCATTTTTTCGTTCATTGTTTCAACGGAGACAGGAGACAAACCTCTCTTACAACCTGGCTAGATTTAAAAGGATCTGCTCTGTGAAACTGTCTGAAAATAGACTAGCTCACGTACACAACATAGTTGAACGGGGTAAGAAACCTTTTCCAGCTGTGGGCTAGAATGACCCTCCCTAGATCAAAGACAGGCAGGAGGCGGGCATTAGAATCCTGCTCTGTCTGCCAAATGTCTCCCTGGCTGCTTAGGGAAAGCACCTGCAGCAGATACATCTCTCCTGATCTACACAGGGAGAGCTCCTGAAGCTGATATTCATACTCATGGTGGCATGAGGAGAGCACCTACACAAGGTACCCCCTGCTGCTGAAGCTCCACGTCTGTGGGCCAGATCCTGCCTGTGGGCCATAGGTTGCCAGCTCCAGTATTTGATGGTGACAATATTAGTGACATTTCATTCCATCAGTGGCCATGGTGCGGGAAACCCAGATTCTGTTGTCAAAGTGCATGTTAGAATAGAAAAATGAAGTTAGAGTATACTGACACACCAGCATCAAGCTAAATGTAGAGCTACATGATTGGTCTTGATTCGGTATCCATCAAAAGAAAGCAAAGCACTGTTTCTGTGCAGTACAGTAAGATTTGAGAAATAAACTTACGTTGTATTTGGCTGGTTTTGTTTCTCTGTATAAACCCCCAAATCAATAGGATTTTTCATGATTTTGGGTGTGTTGCTAAAGGTTTGCATAGATCTACTTTTATTGAATTAAATTAACAGCTTACTTTGAGTTTTGAAATGTCTTTCCCATTTCATTTCAATCATATTTTCTGTCCTCTTCCTAAGTTAAGATACTTTCTATCTTTTTTATTTTTTTCTCTAGAAAATATACCCAGTTCAGGAAAATATCAAACCAACCATTTGATTGTGATATTGTCCTAGCAATATTTACAGTAATTTTATTATAAAGGAGAATGACTGCTGCCCTGCATTCTGGCTGAATAAGAAAGACCACTTGGTGCTGTTACAATACTTACCCCAAAACCTCTCATTCATAAAGATTTACTAATCTTTATCTGCTCTCATTCCAATTTACTATTTAGATGTTCCTTGGGGGAAGAGAATATATACCATCCTTTAGCTCCTATTCATGCTAAAGTTACACTGAATTAGCCTTAAGCTTCCCGTCTTCTCACTTGCATTACAGAAATTAGCTTCTGTTACCTTATTAAAAAAGGGGGTCTCTCACTTCTTTGTACATTATCCTTTTAACTTCAGAAAATGTTTTAACAGAAATAAAAAAGCCCAACAGAAATAGTGCGTCATATATTGCTCCCATTTATACCACTGTGACTTCACAATGACCCTCTGAAGTCAGATTATGATCTGTTATTTGATGAAGCACTGAGAAATCATTGAACCAGTAATGGAGCCAAGGGTGATCTGGCTGCTTGGAGCCCGGCCAGTGGCCAGAACGTGGCTTTGGATAGTCAGGCTCTGGTTTCTGGCAGTGCATGTCTCTGCCATTGGCACCACTTTGATTCTTTTAGCAGGGTTTTTTGGTACCAGGATTGCCTGGCGTAAACCGGCCCCCTTGCACGGTGCTGCTAAGCAGCAGTGAATGCTTGCATGTGCACCACGTGATGTTTGCAGTGCCTCAGACTGCTCTGAGGTGCTCATGGGGATGTGCCCAATTTGCCTTTTTTTGTTTCACAGCTGAGGATGATAATGTGTATTAATATGCTAGAAAGAGGTTTCCTTAGTTGTGAGCCATCCTTTCACACAATGATCTCTATAGGGCCAGCACATATTTCATTTTAGGCCTATATCTGTACAGCAGACTTTAGCATAGTGTACCCAAGCTTACTTTAAACCATCTGGGCTAGGTACCAGAAGCGGGGTAAAAGAGCTCCACACTTTCCAGAGGCATAATTGGCCAGGACTATGGCCTAGACAATCCCACTCTTCTCTTCCCCTTGCACCTTTCAGCTTCCTGGCTCTGGTGGCACTGGCAGCAGGGAGGGGAAAAGAGATGACAGCATTGCAAGAACAGCAGCTGGAATCCACTGCTGCTAAGAGGTGTCACCTCTTTTTTTTTTTTTTTTGCTGCAGATATGCACACACAACAGCCAAAAAAAGAAAAGCTTTGGCAGAAAAAAATATGAAGTAACATCTCCCCCACCACAGTAGAACCTACATTCCCCAGCATGACTTTAAAATGACATGTTTCTCCACCACTGCTGGCACTGTGACCTTTCTGGTAGGATCTGGAGCCAAGTGGGGGAACAAGAAGGACAGGAGTCCCCCATTCTATTCTGGCACATCCTGCTCTTGGGCAGTGCCCAGGGATCATGATCTGCTTACCCACCCATCCTTATGCTACTGATATTGCCATAATTAGACTGCTTGGTATCTGGGGTAGCATAGGCATCTCTGCAGTACACTGCTGTGTGCAGTATCAATCAGAGCATTTCCTTTCTCAGCAACTGTCTTGTGTATTCTCTCTCTCTTTCATGATGTTTGTGATGAATTAGCTGTGCCCTATAGCATGGTGTACATGGGATCTCTACTGCTGCAACTTTTTTTCCAGATAGGAAGGTGCAAATGCTTTACCTGTTCTCCAATGTCTTCTGGCTGATTCCCCACAGCCACTCTTGTGATCCCTGGTAAGTCAATCAGGGTCAAATCTGGAACACCTTGGGAGCTGATTTCCAGGGAAATTAATTCATGGCTAATGCCCGCTCCTTCACCAGCCATTGCATCCTGGGCTACAATGGAGGAAAGAGCAAGGCAATGAAAGCAGAGTTTAGAAACTTAGAATTTTAGCTGAACATAATGGATTTGGAGAACATGAGTTGCTCCCATGTTTCCTTTTAAGAAAGCTTTTGGGGGCTAAAAGATCTGAAGATCTACTCATGAAAAATGCTATGGAAATTACTGGTTCATGGTTAATGTCCTTCAGAGGATGTGGGACTTGATAATCACTGAGAAATGTGCTTTCTAAGAAATCTCTATATACCCAAAGAAGATTTATGGAGACAGATAATATGATGCAATAATAGTGAGCTAATGAAATATTCAGTTGTTATACAATTGTTTCCACATTCAACTACGTCTGAAACAATTAAAGGCAGAACCAAGAACAGCATGTAGGAATATTAATTCTCAGGGTTTTGCGTTACCCATTAGATCACATCCTGTCCAAGCTGAACAGGTCAAAGAAATGCATACATACTTAATTAGTTTGTTATTTCTGCCTGACCATATTGTCAGATAATAGTGCGAGGCTAGTGTTCTATGATGTCAAAGTAAATAATGTCTCATAAGAAACTTTTATAGCTGTAATTTGCTTATTTGACATGGGTGTGATTTATTTGATTACCAAATTTTTAATTAGTTCTTGAAAACCTCAAAGCACATACAAATAAACCAGAACTGGATAAAGTTATGACCATTAACAATGCATGCAACTATAAAAACTAAGCCAGTAGGGACAATCAAGTCATAAGCTTCCAGGGACAAGCAGATTATCATTAGGGCAGGAGAGATATGTTTTCCTCGTCCTTCTAGCAACCCATGGGGCTTCAAGGGGAAGCTGAAGAGATCTCTGAGCAATGCTGAGACCAGTGGGGACCAACCTTTTTGGCTGGCCTGCCACAAATTAGCCCTGCACCCTTCCTGAATGCCACTCCAGTCCAATGCCACACCCTTACTTGATCTGCTGCTCATCTTTTTGCTCCTTGCTCTGTGCTTCCTAACCAAGCTGCTGCTCTGCTTTCTTCTCCCTGTCCTATGTGCCACTGTGTTGCCTGCCCACCGCCTCAATCTGCAGACAGAGGCTTCCCATACAACTTGTGGCACCCATGATGCAGGTTGACTCCCCATGGCTTGATAGTTAGAGTACTTTGCTGGGAAACAGGATACCCTGAGTGAAAGGGCCTGGAACTCAGGTCTTCCGGTCCCTGAGTGACTAGCTTAGCGGGCTGCAAGGAAGGAGGGCTCCCCTCCTCCAGTCTATTCTGACAGGTACACGTACAGAGCAATCCCTATTTGTCACAAGTGGAAACAGAATCCAAATGGTGCAGAAGTGTCAAAAACTGCCACCACACAGTGGCAAGAGTCACTTGGGAGCATAAAGATGAAACAGTCTGTAGTATGTTCTATAAGCTACGCCTCTCATGCAAGCTAAGGGCTCCTTCCATTTCATTACACAAATGGCTTTTACCCTTTCCTCCTTAAGGGAATTCATGAGTCTATCCTCAATTTTTCCTCTGACAGAGTTTCTGGGTGCTTCTAATTCTTCCACCAGGTCCCTTGTGCTATTGCCTCTTGATGTATGTCCATCTTCACCATTACTCCTTTTTGGGATGCTATGTCATTTATTTTTGCACCATTACAGCATGTTAAGCTCAATGGCCAGGTATAGACATTACACTTTTACCAGTATAAAAGTGACTGGAAACCAGTCTATGCCCCTAACAGAACACAAGTCTGGTGCACATAGACTGGTTAAAAATGGTGGAAGCCAGTTTAAGATTTGTGCTCCCCACACCCTCCCAACAAGGGTGAATGCATGTTCTGTTCACTACTGATCTGCACTATGCTGCTTACAGAAAACCATGTTTTGAATGTCTGTACCTAGCCTTTAGGGAGGACAAGTAGGGTTACTCAGAAGCCATTAAGATGTGTTTGAAATATAGACAGACACATGCAGAATTGTTGGAAAATGTGGCATGTTAAAATAATAGCTGGGACTCCATGTGTCCTGCATTTATCCCTTTCAGTTTTTCTTACTTAGTTCAAAAACATGAAGGTCCTGAACTTTCCTTGAAATTTTGGAATTGATCAGATGAGGCATTAAACAGTTACTGCATTACAGCCCAACCTCCAGAGAAATGCCATCCAGGTGCGTGCCTACTGTAAGCAGATATGACAAACCCTGGTGGAACTTCACTGAGGCCAAGAATGGCAAATATGTCACTTTTATTACTCTCTCAGAACACTCAGTGTTATAGCGAAATAGCATTAAGCAGTGGTTGCCTGTACTATTTTATCTGTTTTTATGGCTTTTTTATTGTAAGTTGCCTTGAGGCTATTTTTGAGAGGGCAATATAGGAATAAAATAAATAAATACAATGGAATCAGAATGGAATAAACTGAACTTACCCTTTCTTATTTCTTTCTCCACCTGTGCAGGATTCTGGAGTACCTCATTTATACCGAGGTAACTAATTTTCCCTTTCCACCCGTGTTCAGGTGCTGTCTTTTTAAGTTTGAGTACCAAAGGACATCTGGTAACAATGCCTATAACGATTTACAAATTGAGTTAGTCTGATCATTCTTGTTGCTTTTAAGATTTAGAGTTTGCCACAAAATATAATGGCTCTCCAAATACACACAATGCATAAAGCTTCACAGGTATTCAAAGTTTGCTTCCTGGAACACATGAAACCATATCCTAAACAGTTGCTTTGGCCAGCATAAGTCTCTCAACAACAACAACAGTAGCAGCTTTTAAGTTGATTTCACTCCATAAAATCACTTTTGCTTTAACCCTGTGTGCTGCAGTGGCACATGCCTCCCCTCTCCCCAATAACAGTTCAACTTAAGATATGCCAGACCATGGTGAAAACATGAAGCAGGAAAAGTGCAATGGACTTTCAAATTAATTGGTCCAAATTTCAAATCCTTCTCCAGTTGTGATGAAAAAACCCCTTTAGTTACAGCCTATGGAAAACTGAATTCAAAGCCATGTCTTCTGACATGTTTGCATAAATGGGAGATATTTAAAAAGCATATGTTATCAGAAAATGTGTGCGTGTGAGATGCATTAGTTTTCACCAAATAGGAGCCAGTCTGAGATTGTGGTGGTTTCTGCAGTTCTTCTAGGAATGTCATTAATACTTTTGCATGTGTAGGTGGACAGCCTTGTTGGAACCACTCTTTAAAATCACTGCTGAGCTACAGTATCAGTTCCTTTTATAAACTTCAGGGATCTAAATGAATAATTTTCTCAAACTTCGGACATGTTTTTCCCTAAAAATATTTACTGATGCATGCAAATCTAACATAATGATAAAACAAAAACTGGATGTGATGTGAAAACTTGACAAAAACGTAACATCTATTACTGATTCAGACATTTTTGTGTCAGCAGTGAATAAGCAGATAGCATTATGTTATGCAGAGAGGGAAGATTGGTATCTGTATGAGCTACAAACACTCTCCTTTACCATGGAGAGCAATTTTATGCTTCTCATCTGACTGAGAAGAAGTGACTTTAAGTGAGTGTGTGATAGCAAGTCAAACTAGTCATAAACTTTCTGATGGCAAAGTTTTTTTGGGGGATACCTTGAGTTATGAATCTAAAATGCACTTCCAGTTTTCCAAATCTCAGCTCTTTATCTGACAAAGGACAGACTGCAACCTCTGCAAACTTGAGAGATTTCAGAGATGAAAAAGCATAATCATAGGCAGAGGAAGAAAATATGATTGGGGGGTGGTGGTGCTGAGCATGTGCGCACCCCTGCAGGTAAGTCTGTTGTGGGGAAGGGGTCGGGGTCCAATGGAGGCTGCCAATGAGGGAGTGAGTGGGGCTGAGGTGAATGGAGCCCCAGGGCCAGGGCAGATTGTGGGATGCTCTGGGCCCAGGCGGCTTGTCTAGGGGTGCGGCTTCACCCTGCTCCCTTGCCCGAGGCAGGCACAGGGGGCACATACCCCCTGATCTGTGTGTGGCATGCAGGCAGCTGCTGCTGGGCGCTGGGCTCTGCCCTTGCTGCCAGTGCCCTGGCAGCCACGCAACACCACATGCCTCCTACCACCGGTGTCATATGGCTGCTGGGGCACTGGCAGCAGGGGCAGAACCCAGCTCTCTGCCCCATGCACAGATTGGGGGGCATGTGCCTCTGTGCCTGCCCCGGGGGTGGCGGAACCCCCGCCCCCCGTGCCCCTGGATGAGCTGCCCAGAATTGGATCATCCCACACCCTGCACCAAGGCCCTATTCACCCCCCCCCACTCTGTGGGGGGCCTCGATCTGCTGCACCCCCATAGCCCTTCCCTCCCCTCCCCTGTGCTCCTTCCCATCCACACATTTACGGATGTGGGATGGTCCAGGCTGGGTAGAGTTTCCAGCTGCCTGCAAGCTCCAGCTGCTCGTCTGTGTGTGCACTCCTCCCCCCGCCACTGCAGCCACCCAAAGCCCGCAACTAGGCTGCCTGCATTTGTGGGGGCAAAGCTCCACCCAGCCTTCCACCACCTACGAACATAAAAGTAAACACTTACCACTGCCTCTAGGAAGAGCGACACCAGACAGTGCTTCTAGGACTGAGCTTTTTCCAGAGCTCTGGTCTCCAATTACAGCAATTGCTGGCAAAGGGAGATCTTTTTCTACTCCGAGTGTTCTGAGAGAGTCAATGAGATCAATGCAGGGACGGACCTTCTCCTCATACTGGCCATACAAGCTGTTCTCTGCTTTCTGATAGAATAGTGTGACGTTTAATAAGAGCTCACTTCATAAGAGCATAGAGAAAGTTAAATGTTTCCGTACAAGAACTCATATTGGCATATAAATAAGTCAAATACATCAACAACAATCTATACTTCATAACATGCTTCAGCTCTTTAATGTTCAAGCTTTCTGAAATATGTTTCACATTATAAAACACAATAAATGCAGCAAATATTAGTTTACTTGCACTAGTGACTGAGGTACACATTATAAGTTGCAGAAAAGCAGGAACACCACACTTATCAACGCACTCTGTCCACTTACTTTGGTAAATGCATGTTTATTTTGCTTATAATATTTATAAAGCTAATACTCTCCTAGTACATGTATTGCAACATATGTCGTGAAAATAATGCAGGTCTTAGTAATAAAAATTTGGGGAGACTCCCCATGAATGTTTTTGTACGACTCATTTATGTAACTAATTGTTTCAGGTATTGTATGCAAAGGGTAATAACAAATGAGGACTCAATTTTTAATAAACTAAAACTGGCTCCTTAGAAACTATTTAGCATTTCAACTACTGCTTAGGATTCCCAGCTATGTGCAGACAGTGACATCTTGTTGTCTTTTCCAAATTTTCTCTCCTTCATCCTGTAATCTTCCCTTCAGGATTCAAGTAGTTTCCTGCATTTAGGGCATCCAAGCCATTTTGATAAAACTAAATATTTGATGACTTATCTGGTGAGATAGCTTCATACCTTAACCTAAAATATGGCATGAAGGTGGGAAATAAACTAAATGTTTAATCAGTACCCCGAGTTAAAAACACTCCATCAGTAAACAAATATTGCTAGGGATCTAATCAAATCATGATTTTGTGGATTTCAAGGAAACTATGAAATCAGGTGATCTCAGTGAAATCCATGGAAAACCCCCCAAAACTTACTAAACATAAAATGTAAGCTGTCCTCCCGGCCACGCAGCCTGGCACTAAAGGGGCTGCTGGCATGAAAGTGAGTAGGCAAGATGGCTGCTGCCCGTCTCTTGCCATGGATTGGCTGAGGGCTGCCTATCATGCGGCCCTGCCCCTCTCCACCAATCAGTGATCAGTGGTGAAGCTGTATGATGGACAACCCTCTCCAATCCCTCAGCAGCGGGGAGTGGGAGGACCCACAGCCAGGATAAGCCTGTAAAAATGGCAGCCGAGCCTGTGATCTGCCCACAAAATCAGCTGGCCACTGCCTCAAGTTCAGTAGACCACTTATTGTTGCAAACCTCAATGACAGCCTGTTCATCAAAGGCAGTACTTATCAAAGAAAGACATATTGAACCCTTTGTTCATCTTAATTATAACTATTATAATCTAATAAGCAAATACTATTTAACTATGTACTTGTTCCCAAGAGTTTTATTAATTTTGCAGTAGACTTTTCCTATGTTTTGGTTTAAAAAATAGGAAATCTTCACAAAAGCTTTTTTTTTTTTTTTTTTTTTTTTT